GAGTTGAAATATTCATATGTCTATGTCGGTGGAAAAAAGAAATTTTCAATATCTTTCGCATGGTAATATTCTTTATGTTTACATTAGCTTAAAATTTATTTACACTTATCATCATCAACACTTATAAGGTGAAATAGAAAAAAAAAACTATTTGGTACTTAATCATCTATCAAGGAAGCACTTGCATGGTCATCTCTTTTTATCCAACATTTATCAAACACAACTTCTTCCTATTTTATACTTTATAAAATTAAACACTTAACCAAAATAATAGGATTGTTGAATTTTACTCTAACAACTTATAAAATTTATATTACATGCACACATTATCAGTTGAAAATAGTCATACATTACCTTTTTTATTTTCTAATCCATCTCTTTGCCGGTCCATACCTTAACAAGTTTTTTTATGACCATACAAGATTGACATATTCAACATCTATAGGCCATTGTGAACAAAGAAAATTTAATGTGACAACATGATGTTCAAATCCTTTTACATCATATGGCACTCTAAACTGGAATATACATGTTCACATTTTGCATTAGGTGTTACGAAAAGCAAATAAATGTGTGGTTTAGAATACTCCCAGAAGACATATTTCACATTGGGAATTAGACATTTCAAAATGCATATCAAATATGCTGAATAAGACAGACTAAGATATATATATATATATGTTATAGAAAGTTTGATCCAAAAGGTTTTCGGAACAGGTAATCCAAAACACTAATATTAGTATTCATAATGCTTTATAAGTCAAAATTGTGGATAGTCCAATCCAGAATGATTACCTTTTTTTAATAAATAGCTTCAGATTATTTGCTTTTGAAAGTTCAATTTCATATTAGATGGTCCAAAAACCTGTACAACCATTAAAACAAAAAAAAAAACTCCATTGATATTACCATTCATACTGTGCAACCACCGAAAGCTCAGCAACTCTAAATGAAGGCCGGTCAATTTCCTTAAGTTTATAACAGTAGAATGCAAATTTCCAATGAAGTGAAAAACACACTGCAAGCAACAAAGATGAAAAGAAAAAGAAGAAAGCACAATTATATATATCACAAAAAAATAAAATAATCATTTTAAAAAATTATAGAAATGCTGGTAATAATTATGTGGTGCATAAAGAAGAAGCCTTGCATAAACAAGAAGAAACCTTTTGGACCTTTTTACCATCTAGTTATGAGTTCTTTTGCTCGTGACAACTTTTATTTATTTATTTTATCGTAAGTCACATCACCGACAACTAACGTCAACTCTAACAGTCTACCGACACTTTCTGTAATACGAAAATATAATTTCTTATCATCAAAATTTATAAGTTCAAATCTTGCTCAAATTGAAAAATGGGGAAATGAAAAGAGACAATGAGGTTTAGTAAAATTATTTTAATTTGATTTAAAAGTTTAACTATTTAGTTCAATAATATTTATTTGAAATTGGTAAGAAATTAAAACGAAAAAACGAGGAAGAGCATCCTTGGAGTAAAATGTGAGTTCAAATCTCGTATAGATCACCCATTAGTAAAACAATAATAAAAAAATAATTTAAAAACTTATAAGTTCTTCGCTGAGATGCCAAAAAAAAACCAGAGAAATGTATTGTCATTATTAAAATATTTTTTAATTTATTAAACTAGTAACCCATCACTTATAAATTTTCATATTTTCTTTAATTTATTCAAATTACACCATTTTTATCTTGATCCAAACAAACTTAACTTCGTTTCCAATCCCGTCAAAATCTTTTGAATCAAAACCTTACAACCAGCAAAAACAAGAAGGTGCACTTTAATGGCTTTAAAATGAAAAGCTGATGTGTCATCGGTTGGTAATACATCATATCCAAATCAAGTCATGGAATTATTTTTAATTAACATTACAATTTACACATGAAATCTTTTATTTGGGCACTATTTTTATTTTTAAATTGTTTATTTCTTATTATGATTACTAATACAGTATTTTTATTTCATAGCCATTTGATGCAATACTTGAATGAATGCATTATGATTATATTTACTTCAGTGGACCACAGCTTGCATAACTGATCACTAAAAATTATTAACAAAACTGACACCTTTGATTTTTACACTAATCAGCATTTTGATTTCATTATGATCTTCTATTTACAAGCTAAATAAGTGTATTATATAAAAAAAATTAAATATTTTTTCGCTGAATAGCTTTATCTTTAAAATAAACAGAAGACAATATTAAAATTTCATATAATTTTAAAAGTGATAACTAATAGTTTAAAAGTGAGTTCAAAGAACATATTTAAATATCCGTACACTTAATTCATCTCATTTATTTTGGTAATTGTTTGTCTCGTTATCGTTAATAATCAATCTTGTCATTTCATATATTTTAATGAAAAATATTGTTTTAAATAATATATTTCAATGTGAAATATTAAGTTTTAATAAATATTCCAATGTAAAATATTGAGTTTTAAATAATATTATAGAAATAATTAATGAACCTAATTTCACAGAAGATAAGTGTGTAAATTTTATAGGTTAGTTTTATGAAATTTAATTATTTTTAAATTTTATTTTTTACAGAATGATATTTAGAGCTATCATTGTGGTTATACAGACCTTTATTTTTTAATGATTTTTTTCAAACCTTTTTATCCATATTCACTCTTTAATGTTTCTTCTCTCCTTAGTTTTTTTTTTCTCTTATTTCTACTTTTTTAAAAAGAAATATCATATTTATCATTAACAATATTTGAATTTATCAACTTGTGGACACAACTCCATTGACAACATTGTTTTGATAGCATACACTGATAATTCATCTACTTGTCTCACTTAACCCCTTCTTTTTATCTCTAAGTTATATACTCTAGTGCAAATAATTACATATATCTAATAATAATTATTTTTCTAAAGTTGTCAATTTGAATTTTTAACTCTTGATAGTGGTTTAATAACACAACTTTGTGTTTTTGTACTACCTAACTCCTTGTATCACTATTGACTCTCATTTTTATGTTCTCAATTTTTCTTTTAATTTTTTTATGTTTCTCACCATGATATTTTTTCATTCACTAAAATAATGTTATATTGTATAATTGAATATTAGGTTGGACAATCAACCTCGAATGTGAGTTACATGATTTTTATTATTTTTATTCATCGTAGTCAATATATTCATGAACAATCTTCTATGATTATTCATGAGACATCCATGGTACACAAAATTATATAATATAGTGTCGAGTTTAAAATATTAATTACTTTAAACTGTGAGTTGAGTTATTTAGGAAACTATTAGTCACTTTATTTTGTAATCTTAATAAACGAGTTTTGTTTGTTTTTTGTTTACTTTGTTCTAATAAGAACTTCAACCTTTTTGTTTTAAAATCTTTGCTACATTTATTTAGAATTATGTGAGATGTAGCTGAATTTGGTCGATGATATGTCAACCCAGTGTTTTCTACATTTTAAACATTTTTTAATAAAATAAAAAAACACAATGTGATATATCTATACGTTATTTTCATAGTGATAACGCTCATAAATATCTGTTTAACATATTTCAACAATTTATGAAATATAACGGTAGTGTAGAAGTGGAATAATTCAAAGATGGTCACATTTCGAAGAAAACATGTTGTCGATATTCTTGAAGTAATAAAAATGATAAAATGTTATGCTTATTCGATTATGTTTCAAACTTTTACCTAATCAAGGAGTTTCAAAACTATATATGTTTGGTAAATTATTTTTAGTCTTTAATTTTTTAAGGTATTTCACTTTTCGTATTTTATTATCATAGCGAAATACAAATAAAAAACAGTTATATATTTTATTTTGACTTTTAGATGCTATTACCACACGTCATCTTATTAAAAGATGACATCATAATATATTGTTCAAAAAGCGTCAAATCATCAAATTTATATTATCAATAATGTCACTTTAATAATAATAATAATAATAATAATAATAATAATAATAATAATAATAATAATAATAACAATAATATTATCCCGTGAATAATAATAGAATGACAATACCAAAGCTATGTTATCATGGACATAAACAAATATTTATCCTTTAAAGGTAACGAATAAATTTAGTTTAAATTACTATAAAACCAATTTATTAACTAATAAGAAAAATAATTAATAATGAAATGTATCACCTAACTATAGCTTTTGTTACCCAACTACCTTACATAGAATATTTCGAAATCATCACCCATTTCATCAAGTAATGTATGAAAATAAAATTAAAGAGCAATTTTAGCTATTATCCCATAGGAACCTTTGAAAGAATCTTTAAATGTCTAACGAAAGAAAAAAAAAACTATTTATTATGCTTCAACTAGAAGTGAATTAAACCTGACATTATTCTGATATGACAATATAACTTATTGACAATTTTGTTGATAAAATATTAAAAGATCTGATATTATATATTAATACCATGACATCACCATGATATTATTATTGAGTTATTTTTAATTTAACATGACACATTCATAGCGATGTAATTTTCAATATTTTTGTAGCAAATTGTAAGGGCAGGAAAAATAATAATAAAGTTATTGACGACCAATTAAAACTGATAATACATAATTTAGATATACTATTTGTGGCTAAATTAATTTAATCACACATCTTAAATATCTAATATATTAAATATAAATCTGATAAAGGCAAATTTACTAAATTATAAAATAACGGATCTACATGGAAGTAACCAAAGTAATTGATTAAATATTAGTAAGACTATTTCATCCGTCAATTATGCGCTCATTGTCGGACCACATATGCTATGCATACGTGCCGCGTGCTCCAATTTTGATAAATAGTTACACTATTTTCTTTTATACATAAAAAATTCCTACTTATTAGTGTCAATTTTCTGCACCTTTTGGACCCAAATCTCAGTTACCATATGTCAAAATAAGAACACAATCAAGTTACAATTCAAGGATTAAACCATGTTGATACAGTACCAATGCAAGCAAACTACCCACAAAAAAAAAAAATTGGGGATAGAAAATTCAGTGTTTAAACAGTGAAGAAACCAAACAAATTTGTACATTTTTCAAGCTTTAGCTTTCATCTCTCGTTATCCTAACTTCAATTACCACAACAAACATTTAGATTTGTATTATAACGATTTGTACACATAAACAGCCTTTCTTTATTTGCAGGCCAAAGGAAACCTTCCACACCAAACCAAAACTTCTAAGGTTACGACATCACACGAGCAATGTGTGTGAAACCCTTCTCTTCTCTATGCCTTGCTTGATTTCTTCTGCACACCTCAGGGTCCTCTCGATGTGGTACCCTCCTCCAATGCTGACTTCCCTCTCTAAATGGCAGCAATAGCTCTCAAAAACACTCACATTTACATGCAATTTGAAATCCATCAAGAAAAGGAATTCCAGTTCCAGCTTGTTCAGCTCGTCAGTTGTTAACCCACCAACTTTTCCAAAGTAGGAATTTCTATAATTCCTGCCAGACAAAAAAACAATTAGTAAATCGTTTTTATCAACACATCATGCCCTGAATTTCAATCCAAGCTATTTTGATGGTTTAGAAATTGATGCATTATCAGACACCAGCAACACAGACCAAATCAAAATCTTAAAAAAATTGTCTCTTTCCTCAGTTGTTGGCAACCGATGTCGACGATTAAGATTGACATAAACAAGAAACAGGTGCAAGGCATAAAATGATATGAGATAAAAAAAGTATAATTGGTTAATTAATTTGATGCGAGTGAAGAAATGCGAAGAAAACTTACATGTCTTCAACATACTTGGAGGCCAACATGATTGTTGTAATGAGAAGCCTATGAACATTTCTAGGATTGATTCTGAATCCTGGGTTGTTATGGCAAAACCTGTCAATGTAAACATAGGCCACAACATACACCGAGGGTATTGCACGAGTGTACCTGAAAATTCTCTCTAGATAGGATTGGATTGTCATGTCTGGGATATCCCTGCAGTAAAAGATGTTTGTACTGATGGCCTTGGATAAAGAACAAGAACCATTCTTCACGATCCTCTCTGTTCTGGCCATGCTCCTCTCAATCAGCGAAGCCAGAACATTTATCACTAATGGGGTGCTAGAATCCTCCTGGTAGGAGTAGGAATACAAATCTGAACGAAGCTTTCTTGGGGAGATAGTCAGATAGGAAGAAGAAGAAGCCATGAGTGAAAGGGAAAGTTGGTTTTGTTTTATTTTTCAATAGTCTAAGGGGCTTTTTGTTGTGTGAAGGTGGGGTTTTGATAGTGTAACTAGGCTTTATATATAAATTGAGAGTAATTGAGTGTAATAGAAAGAGTGAATAAAGAAAGAGTAAAATGACACGGACTTTGGTCACTTGGAAGGTTAGTGGAAGCTTGAACTGAAAGATAATAAAATGAAAGGCATAAAGATATTATTAGATGAGTGTTCATGGTCTTTTTAAGGGCAAAGAACAAACAAAACCAGCTAAGCGTTTTGCACTGTAAAACATTTGAGTGTGATTGTGTCCTAGAAATTGAGGTATCAGAACAGTGTTGTGAAGGGAAAAGAATGGGAATCGAGTGGAGAATAGGATAGTAGGTTATTTGGACCCACAAATTTAGGGGCATTTAAGCATTGACCCTTGCCTTCGAGATTTGTGCAGTTCGAGAGTCCCAACTATGAGTATTATAGTGAGATCTCTAGATACTACCACACATGCATGGGGCTTGACTCATCTTAGATCGTACAATCTTGGTTTTGCAACTTGCACCCGTACCACGTGTACCTTATGCATTCTATTTCCCTGTTGTTTCCTTTATTGCTTCTTTTATATATATATATATATATATATATATATATATATATATATATTGTTTATATTCACTCATTAATATGACAACCTATAGGTCACACTCATAGAATATATTAAGAGAAGAAAATAGTTCATTATGTTTGATTTTGTAATATATGAGGTTCATTTTGAATAAAACAAAAAATAATTAGAAAAAAAATAGAAATGTTCTTCTAACAAGTCTAATATGTCTCAATTTTTATGAAATCGCTGTATAAAATGAAACGGTGAAAATTTTGTAAATATTGCTAATATATATAGGTTTCATTTTAGCAAATGAATCAAAGCAATATATACATTTTTGCCTCGAGTCCAATACAAATGAAGTTTAAAGTGACACAAAATATTTCAAAAAATTAGAGGATATAATCCGTGATGATTGCATAGAAGCTTTTGTCAAAACGCATGTGTATGAGACGATGTTCACTGATCATATACTCTTTTGTATATTGATTCAACTAAGTTCACACGGTTGTCAATGGTTTTAAAGCTTATGAATTTGAAGGCAACCAATGGATGAACCAATAAAAGTTTTACAGAATTTTTGTCGTTGTTGAATGGAATACACTATCCACTCATAGATGTGAAGAAAATTATATGTCTGATAGTTATGGAGTATAAAATGATCCATGCATGTCTGATAGTTATGGAGTATAAAAGGATACATGCATGTCCGAATGATTGCATATAATACAGGAAAGAGTTTGAAGGTTTGAAAAAAATGTCCGAACTGTGGGTTATCATGATACAAGCGAAAAAACAACATTGAAGAAAGTTGTTAGATAGAAAAGAATAGTTTCGCTTTGAAAGTAATTTGGTATCTTCCAATTGTTGGTATAAGTGCCCAAAATAAAAACCCCCACTTGTTATTTTGTGGTGGGTATAGAAAGCTTGAAGAGAAAATCAGGAGGCAAAAGTAAGAAGGTAGGCCCCCACTTTCGGAGGGTGATAGTCCCCAACCTCCTTCACCACCACTCATTATGAGAAGTGGAAGTTAGCCCATCTACGATCATTGGGCTCCTACACTTCTAAAATTGCATGAGAAATATCAGGAAGAATTGTAAGATGTAACATATCTTATAATAATAATAATATTGTCATATTACACAAATTACAAGTTATTTTAAATAACAATGTTGTTTTGTTATGTTATAGGACTCGTTAGTTGAGCAGAGCTCCCAAGATCAATTCACTCTAGAAAGTTGTCATGATATTCTTGTTACTACAATTGGACGACTTGAACACCCTGAAGAAGTACGTGTTGTTGGATCTGGGACATAGGCATTAGGCATTATTTTGGGGCTCATCGCTTCACACTTCTTACACAAACAATGTCGAGTATGAAGAAAGGCTAACGTAGGAGATCACTAAGAATATCAGGCGCAAATGTATGATGAAGTTACTTTAGAAGTGACTGAAAGAGTTATGCACCAGTTCAAACAACAATTTGATAGTTATGGCATCCGTCCATAACCATCTTCTCCAAAGCAACATGTTGTGCTTCCCATTGGTAAAATTAATAATCATTTTATGCTAATTTATGAATTTGATTATTTTCTTCTATATAAGCTAACATTGGCTCTGACAAGTAGAAGCGATAAAGGTAGTTTTTCATCTCCAACTGTCCTAGGGGATGACATAGACGACTCGCCCATGTCAGCTATATGTTTTCGATGGTCTCGAGACGATACTACTAGCTCATGGAACAATGTTTGAGGGCCACTGTTCTTCATGGTATGGAGCTATCGGACGATGAGGTCAAGGTTATAATAGAGGAAGTTGTCATACCAGATGCTTTAATTCCTTTGCCAACAAATGAGATATTTACTGTGGCACGAACATTTCAATCTTGTCTCGTCTAGCTTAGACAATTGGTTGGTTTTATTTTTGATATTCTGGTATGTACTCCCACTATACACTTTTCAAATTTGAAATTTACATGTTAATGATGTCCAGACTTAAATATTTTTCCATGTAAAAGCAGACGTGTGGAAAGGAAAGTCTTACACCCAAGAAGATTAATTTATCTAAGGATGAATCTCTTGGTGCATTACACCAGCTTTGTGACATCGTTGTAGATGAGTCGATGGCGATTCCATGGAATTCTATTGTATTTGGGAGAGACTTTAACATCCCATTGTACTTGCATAAGCAAGATGCCATGGAGCTTGCGTTAGGGAAAGAAGAGTTGAATATTACCATCATTCAATTATGGATGATGTAAGTATGTGAACAATTATTTAAATAAAATTGATTTATCTAGTTACTTATATCAAATAAATTTTTTGTTTCAAGGTATATGTTTGGTGTAAGTAACAACATGGGGTTTAATGATGTCTATGGGTTTATTGACCCCTAACTCAGTCATGAAGGTAATAAATTTGATTACATCCAAATATACGTCACCAGTTGTTTTGCAAGGGTGGAGGAAATATATTTTGTCCCTTATATATCTGCGTAAGTGTACTTTGTTAACTTCAAAGTTTCATATGTGATTTTAAGATATAACAATTAAGTTATTATTAATTTCAAGTACCATTGGCAGCTACTTGTGGTTTTCCAACTGGACAACATTGTTGTGTGATTTTACTCATTGCACAAGTCTTTTCCCAAACATCTCAAACAAGTAGTAGATTGGTAAAAACCTCAATGTTTGAACTTTCTTTGTTACATAAGTTCATTTTAAAAAAAGTTATTTTCATAGTTCAATTGCAGCACATATGATGTTGTTTGGGAAATCAACTACTACGACTAAAAAGCTTGGATGGTTAGCCCTTAAGGTTTGATATTTTGGTGCATACTTTCTTATAATTGTTTTATTCCAATGGTCTTTTATAATTATTTAGAATTATGATCATATATTGTAGTGTAATAGACAAACTGGATCATATGAGTGCGGTTCCTATGCAATGCATTGGATGACGATCATTATTCGTGCTCATATTACAAGTGGTTAAGAAACAGTAATATTTACATTTAATGAATTGTTTCTCTCTCCATCGTTTGTAATTCATATACACTAATTGAAATCATTATATGTTGTGTAGAGATTCAAGACTCTTCTTCCAATTCCCGAGAAGTCCATTCATTACATACGAAAAGCCCTTGCAATATATGTAATACAACTGTACAATAATATGTAATTGTAAGGATCTAGTAGTTTGTACATTAGCATATCATCACTTTGATGTATAGTTATAATAATTTGTACATTGAGTTGATTTATGGTTATAATTCTATTTTGTATTGAAAAATATATTTTGGTCTGTATTTCTATGTTGTGCATATTGGTTGTAATATGCAGGTTTATTTCTATGATAGAGAATGTTACAAAAATAGAACCATCTTTTAAAAAAATACAGACTTTAGACAACGATTGTGGTAAAAATTAAAGTTGAAAATGGTCTATGGCCTTGATTCAGACTCTAACCGAGGCCAAAGATCCGTAAATTAAATAAATAATTTAATTAAAAATGACCTTTGACAATGGTGGCCATAATAACTAAAACATAAAGTGCTTTTGGAAGCCCGTTACAAAGAGAACTAAGGTCATAGAGTATACCATATTTTAAGTAATTAATTAATTTAAAAGATCCATGGCAGCGGTACCGCTTTCATATATCCTATAAATTAAATAGTTATTTAAAATCTAGGAGGGTTTATGGCAGCGATTTCTTGTAGAACTGGTGCTAAAAACCTTATTTTTTTTCTTCACTTTACTACTTCGAGTTTTTTCAACTGAGACAAAATCATGACCTTTTTTGCTTCTATTAGTAATCAAGGCCAAAACCTCCCTTTTTTTAACCTTGCCTTAATATGTCTCGGTTCTAAAATCGTTGTCAAATTTCGAAAATAACCGCTATCATTTTCCTTCGCTATAGTAGTGAAAAATCAATTTCTTATTAGGTTGAATACAAAGAAATCTAAGGATAATTAGACATTTCATTATGTATAAAGTAACAAAGAAATAATTAAAATGAAAATAGTTAAATTCATATTTTTTTAATCAAGAAATAATATACATAAACACTTTAAGGGATGCTCAATTCTTATACAAAAGATCATAATTTTACTTTGAAGTCCTCCGATAAACCAAATTCATCCTAACATGTGTATATAGTAAAAAGTTTGAAAACAAATAGAAGTCCTTACGTATTCAAAGTGCAAAAAAAAATGAAAATATCATCCTAAGGATTTCCATTTTTAGGTACTTGTTCAAATTAGTAATCATTGGCAATTACTAGATTCAATCCCATTAATCTAATGCTATATTCAAATTCATTTATAGGCTATGTTAAGAGTTTCTTGTTTAATAACTAATCATGTAACATTTTGCTCCCAAATACTATTACTTAGAATTAAAACAACAAAGATTTGTGCGTACATTAGAACACTACACCTTAGTGAAGACTTCCCCTATCAAATTATATATATATATATATAAATATATATATATATATATATATATATATAACCAATTAGAGCTTTAGACTGAATAGTCTAACTGGGTTAGAGCACAAGTTTCCTCCTCCTCAAATTTTGGGTAAAGGATTCTACGTTATTGATATAATGCACTCAATAGGG